TTTGTGAATGTTTGAGAAATCTTTTAATTTCCATGGCAACCATTCAGCTGTGTAAATCACCTGGGTGGACCTAGCTCCACCTTCTACATGCAACGCTTCCTCAGAGCTGCATTTCCAAGCTTCCGAGTTTCAGCCTCATAAAGAAGCCCTCCCTCATGACTCCCCCGATCAGCTCCTTCAGACTAGCCAGCAGCAATTAGCAAACACCTGGTGGAACTGGGCTTCAGCTGAGCTCATTGTAGGAGCTACTTCCCAGTGCAACACTGGTAAAATGTTGCTAAACAGTTAATAGAGGACAGATGTTATAATGGCTTCCCTAAAGTGGAGTTTCAGAAAGAGCAGGAGTTTCTTAAAGCATTAGAGGCCCAATTTCAAACCGTGAAATCAGAGTCAAATTTCTTATGAGTCATATTTCATACATACAGCATTTTTTTTTAACAACTGAAGTTAACATAGTTACATGATTGTGCTCTAAAATGGCACTATGTGCCTGGACAATACATGATGCCCCTTTAATATAATTTTTGTGGCTTTTAATCAGATATTTTAAACAAAAAACAATGAATTTTAAGTCAAATAATTTAAGTGCTCAAGTTTGGATTTTCTTTTGTGGGTTTTCTATCATCCAGACATGGATTAATATTTAGGTATGTATTTCTTGGAGAGTATATATTCTTGATGCTTTTTGTTGGCAGTAATACTCCACCCGCATTACTGTTACTGTCTATTGACTAACCTTAAATTCAGAAACTATAGTTTTAATAAGTTGGTTGGTTTCTTGTCATGGATGCGGCTTTTAACCGTAGTCCAGGAGTTTTAAGTCCAGTTGAGGTCAAGGCTTTAGAGTGAATTTATGTTTAATGTCTTTCCTACATGGTGAGTGTTTGGGGTCTATTTCTTGCTTAATTTAACATTCAGTTAACTCTAAGCTTAAGCAATATGACCCCAACTTCAGCTCCTTTAATCAAGTCCAGCTTGTGTGAGAAATTTTCATTTATCAAATTTGTTGAAGTTGTTTTTTGCCTGGCCATGCTCAAATGCATCTTGAAAGGATAAAATGAGCAAGACATTTCTTTCCTTTGTGAGTGCATGTCGACGTTTCACCAACACTCTGATAGCTTGACATGGTCCTTCACACTAGTCGCGTTCTAAATGATTTATTTAGTTGATATGGATATGTTGGAAAAAGAGAAGCAGGGTGTCATCTACATGTCACAATCTTCTTGAAGAAATGTTTAGTCAGTAAATTAGAGGCTGAACTTGTACTGCCCTGGTTGCCTTAGCATTAGACTGTCTAGACAGTCTATTTACCAAGAGGAAATGTCATTCCAATACAAAGTCATGAAAGCTTAAAACTTAATGCAATTTTTCCTCTTGTTCAAAGTTCAAACACTTGAAATGCTGGAGCTGAACTAGAAACTTACTCTCTCTTTTTTTTTTTTCATCAATTTGATTAAATAACCCAAAGCAAGCCTGCAGTTGGATACTTTACTGTCCCATTATCTCCCTTGCAGGGTTAGTTTTGAAACTACATTGCTTTCTTTGCTAAATGTGGGCTGTGGTTAGAGGAGGAGAAAGAAGACAGGCAGGTAATTGGGATTGTACAGTAATAATGTGTTTGGTGTGGGCCAGACTTTCCTGGGTGTTAACATACTGGGCCATTAATTGGCTAATGGAGTATATGTGGTGGAGAACAGGGGTGGTCTCTGAGGAGAAAGTGGGGGGAGGAGAGGAGTTGGCGGTGAAGCTGTTACAGGTTGCTGAAGTAAAACGCTGTTAGCAGGCGTGTTGAGGTTTGAGGCTAATGAGCGGAAAAGTGGTCCATGCATTCTGGCACTCTTGTTCTGCTTCTAGAACAACTTTATTGTTTGATGTCTTTTTTTTTTTTTTTTTTTTTTTTCAAAAGCATTTTGGTAAGTATTTGGTAATACGGTAGCGTAGAACAAGATCACAATGTTTGCGTTTCAAAAAGTACAACTTGGTTGTCAATTCTACAAAAAAAAATGTGTACAAAAACTGCATAATTTTAATTATAAATAAATATCAGTCTTAAAACATAGTGCTGCATACCTTTCTACCTGCTGAACGGTGATGTCTGAGATATGCCACTCAGTCACCCAGTTATGCTCTTTTATTACTCTCCCTTATACCAGTGAAATATTTCCCTTCAAACATGCAGAGCAAAATACTGAATGTTTAAACTATTTAACACAAACTGGATCCAAATAAAACAATGACATTTGACGGCCACATGACTTACAGTTTTGCTAGTTTTGCCAAGCCTGTTTATTGACTTTTTTCATGTCAGACTCCAGCCTGGAAAGGACATTTCATCTCTAGCTTAAAGCCATTACTCCAACCCTAAGGTCACCAAGACTGTTTTTCATGGATCTGATTAGTCCATAAAACACCAGAGGCTCTTTAAATCCCAGGAGAGTGACGTGAACCTGCAGTAACATCATTCCCGACAGAGACCTGACATCATTGTGCAGGTGGAAAACCTTGTGCAAAGTTTGGTTTTTTATGTCATATCTTGTGCTTTTTTTCCCAAATAAAGAAAAGCAAAATTAAAGCACCCCACTTTTAACTATCTAAATTGATCATTTGTTATACTACACCACCTTCTCAAATATTCAAAAGAAAAAACAGAACGGCTCAGCTCATCGCTAAAGATGACAGCACACCTCGGAGCGTTGCATCAGCCTTCCAAATCTCATTCTCCAGATAATACCAAGAAAATAGGATTCCGGGCGGTTAGGAGTAAACACGGCCGCCTATGGACAGGATGTGGGAATTGGGTTAATCTGGCACTGAAAAATGGTGATTGTTTGAAATGTGATTACTGTTATTAAAACACACAGACCTGGGAGAGCCAGTCCTGCAGGGGGAATTGTGCTGTGCTCCAAACCTGCCAATCATCTTCGAAGAGCAGCAAGGGGGGGAGGTCAGAGGTCACCTGTGACCTGAGGTAACGGGGAAGTTTTAGCAGTAGGAGGCTGCCTGTGCGTGCATGAGTGCGTTCCCCATTGTAGTGCGTCCAACATCTGGAACCAGTGAACGGTTTGGTGGCTGCTGTTGCCGGGGTCACCACAGTGGAAGTTTAGATGCCCCCTCGTCGCCCCCTTTTGGTTGTCCTCGGCGCTCCTCTCTCTGTATCTCTCTCTCTCCCCTCCACTGTCCTCTCCGTCTCCTCCCGCAGTGCCAGATCTGCTCGCACACATGCAGCGTGAGTCTTGTTAGCTGCAGACAGATGGGCGTTCGCATGGAACCGTTCTGGGCGACGGGAAAGGTCTGTGAAAGGCTGTGTTGTGTGGCAGGGTTCCCATGGGTGGAACAACATGGAAGGGGGCATGAAGAGAAGAAAACGAGATTTCCTTCCCACCTTCTCTTATTTGCAATTCTAAGGAACTGATCACCACTAGGCCTCGCTTTGCTTACTTGTATGAACGCGCATTGCAAAAACACAAAATCGCACCAAGTATTTTTGGTCTAGTTGTAGTGCAAATAACTTAGTACGCTTGAAATAAAACAAAACTAAATTGCAATTAACTTTTCAGCTTGTTTTAGGTCAATAATTCCCTAATACTGATTTAAAAAGTATTTATTCCATTGGCAGTTTATTTCACTTTTTCACATAAATTAAGGAATTATTGACTTAAAATAAGCTCCTATATCTTGCTGAAAAGTTAGTTTTGTCTTACTTCAAGTGTACTAAGATATTTGCACTAGAAACTAGACCAGAAATACTTGGTAAGATTCTGTGTTTTTGAAGTGTTTACATTTTGAGACTGACACTTCTTTTCCCATACTTTATTGTAAAAAAGTCAATGTTGTGGCACAGAAGCTTTGGGGTGCAGGTGCTCAAGTGTTAATAAAGGGGCACATTGTGCTCCACATACAACTGCCATTTGCTTTAGTGGTGTGAGATTTATTTCATCCCATCATGTACATTTTAAATCAAGGGCCAATTGTAGGCTGATGCAGATGTTTAGTGATGTTCAACAGAACAGAATCAATCAGTCACGTTTATTTGCATAACACATTTCAGCAACAGTGTACTTCAAAACCCTTTACATCATAAAAACACCAAAATAAAAAGCCATAAAAACAACAAACAGTCACTATTAGGCCTGTCACGATAACAATTTTTGCTGGACGATTAATTCTCTAAAAAATTATTGCGATAAACGATAATATTGTTTCAAGCCCTTTTGACACTGATTTAATGGAAATGACTAATAATGCATGCGATTTCCTGCCATAGATAGACGCACTTTATTTTCAAAAGAACACATAACACTGGAACTGATTAACTAAATAAACAAAACAACCAAAAATAAAAAAAAATACAAGCGCCATCATCAGAATCATCAATACATATTCAATGTGATGCTCAATGTCTCATTTATTATGCAGCTTCAAAAGCAACTCTAAGCAGGTGGGTCTTGAGCCTTGATTTTAGGGAACTCAGTGTTTCGGCTGTTTTGAAGTTTTCTGGAAGTTTGTTCTAGATTTGTGGTGCATAGAATCTGAATGTGTCTGTTTTTGCCTGGCAATATTCCAAAAAATGTGAGGTGGTGGTATTATAGGTTGTTACATCCAGAAATGCTACCTTAGGCCACACACTATAGACTGTAAATTAAAAAAAAAAAAGGGGCAGGTGCTTTAGCACCTCCTAGTGTCTGTCTGTCCCTAAAACTCAGTCAGATTGGATGGAAACTATCTGTTAATAAGAATGTTTAAGCCATATTTAAGATTCCCTATTTAATTTAGGTGCAGAGTGTCTCGGCTATTTCAACCAACAAATATTTCCCATCATATAGCACTGACTGTAGACAAAACGACTCATTTTGGTATACTTTAGCTTTGGGTATTGGAGTAAATGAGACAAATGTAAATGTAGGCTATACTTTTCCGCTTTTTTGGGGGGGATCTTCTTCAGGTTTTGTGCTTTATCAGAAGTAAATTGAAACATCCATGTCATTTGACGTTCGTTCCAGAATCCAGGCCAAGACACGGGAAATTCGGGAGCGGCAGGCGAAGGAGAGGGAATACGCCGAGATCCAAGACGTCGTCAGCCGCACCTTCAGCTCGGATGAGGAGCACACCTACGCCGGCATCGGGTCGCTGGGCTCGTCTCAGGACAGCGGCAGCATCGACCCCTACGGCCACCACTACCACCTCCCTCAGAGCCCGCAGAGTCCTCGATCCCCCGTCAACCCACAGCGTAACGGACCGCCTCTGGAGGCGCTGTACGCCCAGGTCAACAAGCACCGCAACGGACGACCCGCGGCTCCCGACAGGTAAGGAACCCAATTCAGATCCCGCCGGTCGTCCGAATGAGACCGACCAGCCTTGCTCCTCCGTAGCTTACTGATTTGCATCAGTCTGGGAGATTTACATCTCATCTATTATGCATAGACAGTGGTGTGAGTTAATTTGTTCACTTTTACTTGGCAAAGACGAGACATGGTTCACAGATCAACACTGAATTTCACACAGCGTTTTATCACATGCTTTATCTACAGGGCATTCCCCAGAGCAGGCTGGTAAAATCCAGAAACAAAGTAAAAAGAACATCAGAATCCTATCAGTAATTCTTCATGGCGGAATATATTATCTAGCGTCGTCTCACTTTTTTTTTTTTTCCATTTTGCCGGGATCACAGGTAATCTCCTTGGAGTCTCGTAGCACAGACACGTCTTTACCTTGAGCGCATGTGCAGCCGACGGCTTCACCACGTCAATAAAATAATAAATCTACAGTTTATAAGGTTGCAACACCATAAAGTTGCTTTTCTGTTCCAATAGCAAATTACCCAATATTTTAAACTACCCGCTGTCAGTCGGCAGCCACTAAGAGCTCGTTACACAGTTTGTAGGCTCAGAGGCTTCAGATCTCTGTTTTGCCTTCGCGCTGGAGGTAATCCAATCTGTTTGGAAGGCGCAAGAGAGATGAGTGTAATGTCGGGGAAAACTTTCTGCAACAGATGCTGTAGGGCTGCTTCAGGCAAATCGGTAAGTTGTGAAGTTGTCGGGTCATGTCAGGAAAGTTTTCCCAGAACATTCTTTCTTGTAATTTAGTTTATTTTTTTCCATTTTTACTTGAGAAAAACGAATTACCCTCGACCTTATAACATTCATTAGGTTAACTTCTTAAAGCCTGATGCCATTTTCTCTTTCTGAGTTGACGTAAGATGCTTTTATTGATACTACTGGTCTTTCCAACTTTTGGAAGATTGAATAATACCCACCTCCTGAGACTGACATGTGTCTTTGGCAGTGCAGTGACCTTTTCCTGCTGGGCGGTGGTTGGAATAATCTGTTACTGTGTGTATGTGTGTGTGACCAGGAAAGAGTACCTCAGGATAAGTTGCTGGATGTTTTTAAGAAGATTTGAGGAGGAAGGATCTTCATTCTGTAACCCTGATGGGACAGTAAATATAGAATAACAAGGCCTTGTGTTCCCCCTGGAAGCCAGATCAATCCACATGGGGACTTACCTGGTATTTCACCAAAAGCCAAAGATCCGCATCCGCTATCTTCTCTGTACCAACTTACAATGATTGTCTTGATCTGAGCTTGTATTTCCAGTTCCTTTTCCTTTTCACCAAAAAGGTTTTCATTAAAGAATGCGTTTTCTTTTATGTTTTACAAACAAAACATCAGAGAAGTACAACTTTCCACATCTATCTTTATGTTCTTTTGTAGCATCTTGCTTCATATGTTACATCTTTATTCTTTTTTTTTTCCATGCCTTGCAAGAACAATAAAACTATAACCTTAAAGCTTCATATAGATGATAATGTGTCTGCAACAATAGCTACAAAGTTCAACGTATTTTATTAGGATTTTATGTGATAGACCTATAGAAAGTAGCATATAATTGTGAAGAGGAAGGACATTGATGGTTTGGAAAATTATATGAAGAGCTTTTTAATTTAATTTGAATCTGACATTGGTGCCCATCTTTGGCAACACTTGCCCATCTACCTACTGACAAAAAGGGGGGTGAATATTTTAGCAACAAATGCATTTCTCATTTTACCTGTTTTGAAAGCACCTTAAATATGCAGATCTATCAGCTATTTGCAGGTTTATTTCCATATTAAAACTTAGCGTTTCATGTTAATTATATGCAGAAGCTTCTGTTTAGTTTCGGCTGTGAGCTTTGAGTATTGATTGCTGTATGTGGAGCTTATTTGCAGGAACAGGATTAACTTTTCTGAACGTAGCAATTTGATTTCAAATATGCACAACGTGTACGACACTTGGGTTTTCGTTTTGCACCCCCTCTCGCTTTGCATATCTTATGTATGCCAGCCCAGCTGTGTGCCTGCCTGCAGTATTTGTCTGAAATACAATAATATCCACTGCTTCTTGGTTCCCTCTGTTTTTCCATTTACTGTTTTGAAAAAGGAGCCAGAAGCACATTCAGATTTAAAACTCCCGTCACTTGCCTATCATAACCAACGTAAACAGCAATTTGCATTTCTAGATTGATCTTAATGGAACTGTCAAGTTTAAAGCTCCCATAAAACAGAATTTGCAATTATTTCCGACCTTTCCAACACTCACGACAACAAACATGAGTTAAAACTCATTCATATTTTGTTGCATACACTTTATTGCTTTTTTTGAATCTGCAGCAATAACATAATTTGTGCAGGTGAAGATGTTTTACTCAACAGACCTCAGTGTTTCTTGAGAATAGGGACAAAACAGGTCCTATGGATAAAGCACAAAATTTGAATAAAATATACACAAAATA